CCTACTAATATTATGATGCTTACCAATTATTGAAGCACAATGCATATCAGCATAAGGTTCTTCCCCTGTAAGTAACTCCCACATGACAATCCCAAAAGAATAAGCATCAATCTACGGCACAGAAAGAAATATAATATGAGAAAGTTAGCCAACAAATTAATATATCTTAAGAAACAAAAGACAGCACAAGTTGGAAACAGCTCATGCTTTCTCTCTATGAGACTGAATATGGTAGTACCTTCTCAGATACCATGTTACTTTTACCACTTAAAAGCTCCGGTGCCATCCAAGGTAATGTCCCACGAACACCTCCAGACACCAAAGTGTGTTGTCTGACCTTTGATAAGCCCAGATCACCAATCTAAGAGAGCACGTAAAACCGTGTTGGTACCATATCCATATAACTCCAGAAAAGATATTATATTGTGCTTTGAAGAACATTTGCAAAAGGAATTAACTGAAAATAAAACTACGAAGATCTTACTCTTACCAAGTTTATAGTGCTGAATATTTCAGAAACATGATAATAAAATACAGTAGTTTCAATGAACATTTAACAACAGAGTTATATAAAATGAGAACAATGCTAAGCACAATGTTCTAAAGTATTAGATATCAAAGGCAACTTTCAGTTCTGGCAAAAAGAGGGTACCAAAAAAAAAAAAAAGAAAAACACAGCTCAATTTCACACATCTATAATCATACCTTGCAAACAGGACGCTGTGGATCTCTCATATTTACCAATAGATTTTCGCATTTCAAATCAAAATGAACAATGTTTTTTCCATGCAAGTATTCCATCCCAAATGCTGCATCCATTGCTATAATGAGTCTCTTTCGACGATCAATAGTTCTGTCCAACAACAATATGGCATGACATTCTACTCCAGAAAAAGTTCTTTTCTAAATTGACTACCCTACCATGGAACTACTTTAAGTATGCTTATGCAAAACACTAAGGATTCTAGAACAAACTACAGTCATGGCACTCAAAAAGCAAACAGCTCAGTTAGCCATCAACATGAGTACCTGTCTTTCTTCTGCAAAAATTGTTTTAAAGACCCATTAACCATGAATTCTGTCACAGTGGCTAAAGATCCATCAGGACCATCACGTACAATACCGTAGAAAGCAACAACATTTGGATGGTGCACTGAACTCAATATCAGAGCTTCCTTCCAGAAATCTGCAATCTGTGACAGTCACACAAAAGAAATTATGGTTGACCATCAATAGAGGCCAGGGAGAAATGATCTTAATTGAGATAGCAAGAACACTCTTCCCAATGGGGTTAATGTCATGTGTTAGAACAGATAGCAGCCCTAGATAAGAAGAGGTTATGGTGTTTAGTTTACACATTTTTTTGTGAAGCAGGTATAAATCCTTGTGCACAATTCCACCATGTATTTTGCTTGCAGAACTGCTTTATTTATTACATGAAAGAAGTTGTCATATGGTAAATACATAATTATCTGTTCATCAATTTATCGAGCACCATCAACTAGTGGTTATAAAAAACAATAATCACAAACAATTGAGATTTCATTTACTTCTATTTTTCAGTCTTTTAAGCTCAAATGCACAGGCTATTTTTGTGGATTTGCCTTTGAAACTGCTCAACAATTCTAGATGTTACCACTCAATCACACACCGTTCACATAAAAGTACATAGCGTAGCATACATATAAGACGAGGTATCTTTCATTCTTTGCAAATCAAGCAGACTTACACTTAAATGTTTAAGAACCAAATATTTTATGAAATGGAATAGTGTCAAAAAAGTTCAAAATATTACCAAACGTTCTCTTTCAGAAGGTCTTCCGGCAAAGCAGCTGGCTTTAATTCTCTTTATTGCCACATCAGAACCCTTCCATTTCCCATGATGAACAGCTCCATAAGTTCCTGAACCTTATTCTTGAATTTCCTCCAGGTCGTCATTTTTTATTGTCTGAAGGAAGATAGTAATTTTGTCATAATAAAAAAAAAAAAAAAATGGCGCAGCAAAGAATTATCCAGCAAAAGAAAATAAGATATTGATGATGCAATTATAGAGTGAATCCAAACCTGTAAGCCTCTTGAAATAGCTTCTGCCTCAGCCTTTGTTGGCTCAATTTTAGAAATGTTTAGATTTTCATTATCAAATTCTGCCTCCAACTCATCATGTGCATTCTAAAGGACAAACAGACATTAGAAAAAGGAAAAACATGGTACTGGAAGAAGCTCTTTAATAAAGCAAGTTTTCTTCAGTCTCACCAGTGATTCAGATTCATTAGCAGCTACTTCTTTTTCACCTACATCTTGCTTTGCAGAATCACCATCTTCGGCTTTAGCATTGACTTCTTCAACCTCTTCTAGTGCTGCTTTCTTAACAGAAGCAATCAACTCAGGTAGGAAACTTAGACGGTTAACAGATAGCCTTGAATTTTCCAGAGCACAGGGATCTGTTTTTCCTGGTGTCACAACATCATCGTTCTCTTCAGCAGGCCTTAAGCAACTTGAGTTGCTAGACTCATGGGATGATATCTTAGATTCACCATCAACAACCTTGTTCAACTCCACAGAAGATATACTTGGTACCTCAGAATTTTCAATA